GTGCGTGTGCGTGTGCGTGTGCGTGTGCGTGTGCGCGTGTGTGTGTGCGCGTGTGTGCGTGCGTGTGCGCGTGTGTGTTTGTGTGTGTGCGTGTGCGTGCGTGTGAGCGCGCATATGTGCATGCTTATTTGGCCGCATGGGTGTTCGCATAGTCACTTACCGAGCTATTCAGCAGCAGCAGCGGTAGAATGATCCGTGTGACAAAGCCAATACACTGCGACATATTTAGCAAGGCGGAGGCGATTCAATCTGCAATATACGCAACAAAAACTCATAATGTTAGCCATTTAAAGCTTTTTCGAGTCTCCTCGGGAAGTTGTTATTATTCCTTTCTGTAGCTCATACCCAGGGCTCCCAGGGGTCACCCCTCTCTGTCCGCCAACAGCGCTATAGCGAATGACACTGAATGTCACTGAGGGTGGTCACAGCCAGAGTTTGTTTTTGCGCCCTCAGTGGTTCTTTTACGTCCCCATTGGCCTTTCGTATTACTGGAGACGGGACCGCCAGTTTACGTGGTTATCCGAGCCACGGGAGATTCACAGTCTCCAATGTTGAGAGCCAGGTTTTTACACCTTAAGAAAATTCACTGCCGCGGCCGGGGATCGAACTCACAGCCTTCAGTGGACAGTATACGTGGCCTAACCACTATAGGCAACGAAGACATCTCCAAGGCCGCAAAACATAAACAGACAGTCAAATCGAGATTTACCGCCAGATTCTGTACTTTTTTGGTTGGTGTAATAGGCGGGTGTATTCTAATTACTGGACATGATTCATCAACACACATAATTCTTGCGAAATCTTTTAGCTCAAATATTAATTCAAAACAATGTATTATTAATTACAAAACAGTCAAAACTGTGTGTCACAACATTTAGCTATTTACGTGTGTAGTGATTTACGAGTTAAGTACGTCAATCGTTTAACAAATACGGTCTGGACTCACCTATGAGTGTCGCACTATATCGCTCCTGGCTCCCTACGCTTCGCATGCACGCAAACGGATAGTTTTACTGAACAAGTGAGCTCGCTTTTTCTTGAATATACAGTTTATAGCGGAATCGGACGTGCGGGGTGGAGCGACCCAACGCTATGAACGCGTATTTTTCGCTATCGAATCGCATTGTGTAAAAAAGTACATTGTGTGAATGCACGTGCGTGTAATCCCGTCACCGATTCGTCCGATTTATCGTGTTTTTTTTTAGCTCTGTATGGGCGCTGTGAATTGACTTGCCTGCGCGCGGTCTCATGTGCTGCATGCACTCATTCAACTGGTGGAGCAAACTCAAAAAGCTTGCTGGTTAGAATTGTTTGTATTGTTGCGACGACAGAAATAGGAAGGAAGGGGAATGGAGGAAGCTAGCGCGCGAGTTAGCGAGCGAGAGATAGAGAGATATAGGGGGAGAGATAGAGAGATATGGGGGGGGAGAGAGGTAATG